AACCCGTATAAATGCTCAATTTGTTAATATTAGGCTGGGTTGAGCAGGTCAAGGAAAAGTATCACCTTGGTGCACAACGATAAACTGAACACAGCAAAAATATCTCAGTTCTGTTTGTCATAATAGCTGTGAATACGAAAGCTGAATATGAGGGAGAATAAGTGTGGATATAATTAGCAGGAGAATCTGCTATAGCTCAAGATCATCTCTCTCTAAATGGGTGTTCCTTAAGGGATGAGGGGGAAAAAAATGGAGGTATTTTAGGTAGGAAAATCTGATATTCTAGAAAGTCTGTGGTGAACTGTGAGTAGGAAAGCTAAAAAGTCCAACCAAACAAATTAGTGGAAGAGGCACGGAGCTGGAGTTCAGCGAACAACATGATGGCTGAGGGGGACACTGTGCTCCCAGGGAAGAGGGAGGTGGCAGAGGAAATGACGGGGTGGCGAGCGTGCGTGTCTGGGAAAGCGTGTCCGTCTGCGCCTCCATAAATGAGAGGGGGTGTGTGCGACTGAGAGTTTGAAAAGGCAGGGAGAAGGAGAGGGAGGGAGGGAGGGAGGTGCTGAGTATCTTAAATCTCTGCCGTTGCCCTTGCCACAATTTCGGGATGGGAGGTGAAGGCACTGCAAAATCTCGTTTTCCACGGGTGCACAGTGGTCCCCTCGCCTTCGCGCCGGTTCTGCTTTTCCCTTTCATCCTGTCCCCTCACCCTTTCCTTTTCTCTTTCTTGCTCGGGGAAGCTATTTAGTGTTGTACCTTCCTTTCCAGAAGCTATTTCATCCCTGCTTGCACAGTTTTTAAAACTGCTTTCTCCACCCACCTTCAGTCTTGGTTTTTAGTCCGTTAGATTTACCATCTTTAAAAAAGAAAAGGCAAAGGAATCCAGTAACAACCTGATGTAGTTGTCGTTCCTCCAGTCTTTTCTCTCATCTTTTGTCTCCTCCTAATTTCTTTTATTATTATTACTGTTATTATTATTATAGCACTAGAAACAAGCTTCCTAATTAAATACTCCTTCTTATTTGCCATTCAGAATACCATTGGAAAAGCTGGGGGGAAGGGGAGGGATATTCAGAGTGTCCTTTTGCTCTTAGTGCAGAATGAGACACATACAAGAAGCAAATTTAGTCCATCTCAAAAGCAAATGAAGGGCTTTTTATCAGAACCGAAGAAAATGATCACATAGGCTCATTTCAAGTGCCCCTCAATGGCTTAGCCATAAAAACCGTACAGAATATATTAAAGCATACAAAAATATCCTTAGGTATCATTCTATCATTAATGATCTTTCTCTGGCACACGTATGCAAGGCAGTTATGAAGCAGGCATGGGACTGCATCCTCAGACTGGTACAGAGCATCTAGCAGTACTCAGACAGCATGGTAAAGGAGGGAATTTGCAGCTTTAACACAGAATTTCTTTGTATTTTATATATTCAGGCCAGAAACAGAATTGGTACATTAGCATTAGCATTGATTCTGTGGTTTCATATCACTTTTTTGTTGTTTTTAAAGTAGTACAGAAAGGAAGGAAAAAAGACAGAAAGGAAAATAAATCATCCCTTATATACATTCAAAGCATACACAGCAACAGTTCCTTCATCCCTGGGTGCACTGTGAGTGTGTATTGATGTTAGCAGCAAGAGATTGCATATTAGAGATCTGTAACACTGGTAGTGTTAATCATCTGCAAAAAAGGTAGTTCTTTTGCTTGCCCTTCACCCTGTCTCGTATGTTAAAAGACACTTAAATATAAAGACAATAATGTTGATTCCCTAATTATAAAAGGGAGATTAGTTCTATTAAGTGGAACATTAAAAGGAGAATATTTAAAATATTCTCCTTCCTTCAATATTCCCCGAGCATCTCCTGAACAAAAAACTGCCACAACTAACCCCAAAACCAGCTTCTTTTTTTTATGCTTCCTTTTGATTTGGGAGCCGTTTCGTAAGCCAGAATAAGGGCAACAAAAGAGAGGGAATGACATATCTCTGGGCAGTTGGTGAACACAAAATTTGGAAGAAAGAGTTGGGGAAAATTTGTCCCTGCAGTTGGTATAAATGCAGTAAAAATATAATAACTCTCATATATGCCAATGCGAGCAGCCTGGAGCAGGATGAATAACTGGATTTGCAATAGCTGGATTGAAATTAAATACTTGCTCTTTTATTTCTTTATTATCCACATATTTTTCATGTAAACTTTCAGACTAGGTGTTGAAGTACCTTCATGCCATGTAATAGCAGTGACACCCCTCATGCCACCGGTAAATATTCAGAGGGTATGGAGATCTCCAGATATCCTCTGGAGATCATTAGGATGTTGTCTCTAGAAGATATTACCCTTAGAAAAGATTTCTGCATGAAGATTTTGAACTGTATCGTTTTCTGAGGTTTAATAAGTGCTGTGTCCTCTGTGGAGGATCCATCCATCATCCTGCTAAGGGTGGCAAGTCATTGGTGGTCATTACCTCTCGTCAGGAGAAATGGCAACAGGCAATACCGAAATCAGCTCTCACTTAGGAAATCACTGCACCTTTAAAGAAAAATGTTCTGTTCACTTTACTCGAGCTGTCAGTGCAAGATGCATGAAGCACAGAGGTGAATAAATTCCAAAGGCGGAATTGCTCACGTCTTTGCAAACGTA